TGAATATTAGGGTTTTGCATCTGAGCCTAGTACGCCCAGTGTACCATGGGTACGCCCAACATACTAGGTGGTTCTCCGCGACTATACATGGTGCATGAGTACACTGCACGTACTCATGCGTACGCCCTGCATACTGCTCAATCCAACTTTTCTCTTTTAGGGACTAATTCTGACATTTTAAGGAAAGATTCAAGAATGATAAACATACGTTATTTCGGGATGTTACATTTTAAGTTGAAAGTTTTTAGATATGGTTGTATAGCTCCTAAATACCTTTCCGTTGATATAAAGATCGTCGAAATCGGAGTTGAAACGAAGAAGTTACGACCGTTTGAAGTTTAGGCTGTTTTGGGTTAAGCCGTGTACGTTGGGCATACAGGGAGTACGTTGGGCATACTAGGGCATCCTGAGTATACTAGGTGTATGCGATCAGTGACCAAACCCTATTTAAGCTCCCTAACTTCCCCAAACCCATTTCATTTTTAGCCTTTACCTCTCTAACACCCTCACATGAAAACCCTAACCCTAGTTTGAGCCTTTTGAGAAAAAGAAGGTGTTTTGAGTGCTTTGAAGTGCTCTTGGTTCAACTTGGAGAAGAAGGATCTCATTGGAGAAGTTTTGTTTGCATTGGAGCTTGTAGATCTGGACTTTTTTCACCTTGATCTCTCTTCTAGAGGCATAAAGTTTGAATCTTGATGATGAATTTGTTAGATCTAGCTAGTTTTGGATGTTATGAGCTTTTGGTCATTTTAGTGCATAAATTTTAGATCTTGAAAGTTTGAGACCTTGTTATGGATAAAGTTGGAAACTTTATCCATCTAAACATCATTGTGATTCATATATGAAGGTTGGAGACTTGGACTTAATGGATTATGATGGAAAAGATGCACTTTTGGTCTCTTTGATATTTAAATGCTAGACCTTGGTGGTTTGGACCATTGTAATGGATAACGTTGGAAACTTTATCCATTACAGATCTTTTTAGGATCCATAAAATGTGATCTTGATCCTTCTATTCCTTCCATGAAAGTGTCATGATGTCTTAATGGATTAATGAGTTAAGGTTTTGGTTTTTGGACCTTTTCTAGACATGGAAGGTCATAAAAGTGGAAACTTTATGACTTAGAATGATGTTGTGGGACTAGATCTGAGTCTTGGATGAAAGAACTTAAGTGATTAAGCATAGAATGGAAAAGTGCCATCTGGCCGAGTACGTTAGGCGTAACTTTGAGTATGTTGTGCGTACTTGTAAGGGGTCGCGTTTCAGGATGATGAGTACGCCATGCCTACGAGCTGAGTACGTCGGGTGTACTCAGTCTGGAGTTAGACTTGTTGACTTTGACTTCCGTTGACCTTTGGCTTTTTGACCAAGTTTGACATTGGGTCAAACTTAAGGGTTTTGGGCTATTAATTAAGATTTTATCTGGTTCTGGTATTAGTGGGTTCGCGGGTGCAAGCATTACAGAAAAGGGATCGTGTCGTAGTGTTTTTGATAACATCCCAAAATTCATGACCAAAAATTTCATTTTTAAATAAGTAATTATAAAAACCAATAGTTTGAAACATCAATAGAGTCAACTCATTCCATAATCAAAAACCAGTATTTCAAACAACCAAAACATGTCATAGAAGGTAATATCAGAGTACAACTCCCAAAGATCTCATAATGTGGAAATCATAGTGTGATGCGCTGCAATCATGCCGACTCCTTTCCTTTCGAAGAAGAAGTACCTGAAACCAAAACCAAAAACCGTAAGCACGAAGCTTAGTGAGTTCCCCCATCATACTGCATACCATACAACAAATACATTGCCACGCATAGCCGGCCTCCCCTTCGGTCTATTTCAACTGGATACTGCTGAGCATATTTAGGTGCTGGCCTCCCCTTCGGTCTATTTCAACCGGATACTACCGAGTATATGTGGGTGCTGGCCTACCCCTTCGGACTCTTTCAACCAATTACGGGGACTATTTCACCCTTACCACTACCACATAATATCCTAGCATATAAACACATAAATCACATACTGCCTAGCATATCTGGGTGGTGACCTACCCCTTCAGTCCTTTCGACCGGCTACGGGGACTATTTCACCCCTACCACTACCACATAATAACATAACATAACATCACATAAATCTCAACAGATAGTGGCATACCAGACAATTATCACAAAAGACAATCATCTCTACTATAAACAACTACTAGTAGGTCGGCATTGGTGCCTTCGACCCACTCATACAGGAAGGTAACTCACCTCACACTGCTGGAGTTCACTGTAAGAAATCCTTAGTTGTTGCCCTGGCAACTCCTCGAACTATCAACACCAAAATATCACCCAATTAGCAATTGACTCCCAAACCATGATCCATAATCCATACTTGGGGTAAAATGACCATTTTACCCTTGGCCCAACAAGATTCATAACTAAAGCCCAAACCCAAAACCAAACAAGTCCAAAACTCAAAAATCCATATAAGCCCACTAATGGCCCAATTTTCCAAATTGGGCCCAAACTCCTTATTAGGCCTTATCCTAAGGTCCAATCCTCCAGTTACTCCAGAATACAACTACTCAGATAGTCCATTAGGGCCCAAGCATCAAGGCCCAAACAGATGGCCCAAACCTGAAGTCCAAAGCCCGAAACCCAAACAGAGACGTACACGATGCGTACCCCTTCGGTACGCAGGGGGTACCTCGCCTCGCATTGACCACCTACGGGGTGGTTGACTCAGTACGCGGGGCGTACATACACTTACGTGGGGTGTACCCTCGTAATGCTTAAAACTCCCATAAGTGCTTAATGGCTTAAGCACTTGAGCTCAAACTTCAGATCCATGATCCAATATCACTCTAGAACCATAAAGTCTCACAATTTAAGACTTTGGTCGAACAAAAAGGGCTTAATACATGGTTTTGATCGATTAAGATCTCTTACAAGGAACAAGAGACCAAACTGGCTCAAGGGACCTCATTTTTATGGTTCTAAATGCTTCTAAGAGCTCAAAAGGGCAGCTCTTATGGGCTAAAACTACCAGAACACAAGAAGTCTCAACTATGGGACCAAAATGTGACAAATAACACCCCAAAACTATAATTAAGCATGCAATGGTCAAGTTTGAAGCTTGATACCTTAAATGAGTCAGAAAAGATGCTAAACTCCTGGATCTATAAGCCCCTCTCACGTTCTTGCTCCTTCTTCTAACTTCCTCTTCTTCAAGACCACCAAAAATCACCCAAAAGTGCACCAAATTAACTCACAAGGCATGCAAGAGGCTTAGGGTTCGATTTCTACTCTTTAGGGACAGTGGAGGCTGAGAGAATGAAGGTTGGGGCAGACATAAGGTCTTTATATATGGTGTAAACCCTAACAATTAGGGTTTGGGGATCCTGAGCGTACGTTGGGCGTACGTCTCCCAACCCGCGTTCCACTTTTCCATCTCTACGCTGGGCATACCCCAGCTTACATTGAGCGTACTCTCGCGTATGCCACCTTGCATGCATGGGCTGAAATGCAAGCTTTTTCCACCAAGGACCAAATCTGCCTATAACTTCAAAGTGCCATAACTCACTCATCCTAAGTCCGTTTACAACGAACCTTATATCCACGAAAAGGTAGCGAGAAGCCCTACGCTCCTAACAACACACCCAAGCCTTAAAACCTTCCGAATAAAACCCAAAACCCATAAAAGACCGATATATCAATTTACAGTCATACCCTTGACTTCCGAAGACACAATCGAATACATAGATCACTTAAACCATGGCAACTAGATCCGAGATGGGCTAAATCCTTCCTTTCCCGAAGCCCTAAACTCCATGACGACTGATGATTGGGCCGCAGCTCAAGCAACAAGGCAAATCTGAAACCGAGTGTTACAGTTTCAGAGTTCTTCAATTCAGGTGAGTCTCCTCCCTGTGCTTGTGAGTCAAAGGCACCAATGCCGGCTCACTAGATTGTGTATGTAGGATGCTAGGTGTCTTGTGAATCTTGCATGTTTGTATGAGCCTGTGTGGTAACATATATGTGCGTGTGTGTGTGTGTGTGTTGACCAGCTGGGTCTTGCTTGTTGTTACTGTGATATGTGATACTGTGTACTGAGACTGCTATTAGCATCAATTGCCTCCATTTTCCAATGAAAATAACATCTTCAACATAAAATAAGTGTGTACTCATTACCTCCGAATCTGCCCACCCACATCGACTTAAAAAACCGTAAATAACCATTTTTTTGCATAGCCAAATGCAAACATTTCATAGTTAAGATAAAGGAGAACGTAGAATTAGTGAGATGAATCGTCAGTTTTCTTTAATTTGACTCATTTCTAGTTTTTTTTTTATTCTATTTATGATGGCATATTGCGTGAATTCCATGATTTCCATTTTTCCAAGATTGTTTAGGAGGCTAATTAGTGAAATTAACCATGATCGTTTCATGTTTTTAACAGAAAGTGACAAAAAAAAAACAGTAACTGTTTATGAAAAAAACTAAAAAAACTGAAACTGACAATCGTTTACGCATACGAGATTTTAACCGGTAATCTTTAAAAAAAATCCCTATAATCTGAGCTCCTTAACGATAAAGTCATAGACTCATGTCCCTTTTTCTAACAAAAAGACCTTGAAAGCATTACCAGCTAAAGTCATAAATGTGTAACCGATTGTTGATTTCTTATCATCTTCTGTAAACAATTTCCACCTTTTCGTTCTATTTTTTTTTCTTAAAATCCATGACTTTATCGTTAATAAGCCCATTATATATGAACTTTTCTAAGGATTCCTCATACTCAAAAATAGGTTGTTCATACTTCATATATGTACTATCAGGTCTACTTTTAGAAATTAAGTTTATCGTCGATTTATTTTTATTTTTCATCATCAATTTATGACAAACGCAGATAAAGATAAAGATAAAGATATAGATATGTACTCGTGTAATTTACATCCCTAGTGAAGAGTACATTATTCTTGGGACTTCTACAGTATATAAAGAATTCTTTTATATTATTAAATCTTGCAAGAAACTATAAAGCTCTCTAGCAACCAAATGAGGGTATTCTTCATGTGGAAGTAGAGCTCCTTGAACCTCAACAAACTTAGTAACACCTTTAGCTTCTCTAAGAGCTTCCATTTCTGCTTTCGACCTCTTTGGTGCACCAGAGGTCGACACAACTAAAACCGGTACTTTACCCTCTAACCCTTTAAACAGTTGAACAAACTCTTCACGGGTCTTCACCGGGTCAAGTTGACCCGTTAAGAAAGCAGCCGGGACATAACGGGCCCCTTTCTGTTTCGTGAGCTCGTATCTGCTTTCGATTATGGCAGGTGTCACGTTTGCTGAGTCAGCATACACGTGGGATTTATATTGGGATTGGATGGATTTCTTGTTGCTTACTAGTATATTATACATCATCCAACCTACACCTGGGGCCCTTAAGGTCTCTCTAAGAAGTTCATATCTGTAAAATAGTTGAATAATATCACTTTAACCCTAGATTTAACAGTACAGGACCAAAAACATTATGAAACCCTCAAATAAGGACCAAAGTTGCAAAAAGATTTTTTGGGGGGGACGAAATTTGTAGATTTGTAAAAGATATACGTGCCTTGTTTCTGTCTTGGAATCACGACCAAATACAATGGGAAGAGGACCAGACCATGTGGGAGCAACAGCAGCAATGGCAGTTGGTTTGACCAAACCCTTTTTAGCAGCACGGATTGCTATAGTTGCAGCATGCCCTCCACCAATTATCACCAAGTCTTTCCCTGCATTCATTCAAAGTACACAATTTATGAAAACAAAAACTTTGATAGTTTCTGTAAAAAAGTTATTCTTCAATCAACCCTGATAAATGTAACACCTATTGGACTATTTTGGTCAAGGATGAAGTCAACAAGAAAAGATTCCATGACATCAGCATTGTAATCTAGCTTTGGGCGATCAGAATAACCAAGACCAGGCCAATCAACAATGGTGGCTCGCCAATTAACATTTCCAGATTGTTGAAGGATGTCTTTAGCCACCAATCTCCATTCTTCCACTGTGCTCACATCTGAAATAGTTGGCATCATCAGAATATTTTTGGTTGCTGCATTACTCTCGTCTCCATGCTCCTCGTAATGTATTTTGATAGAATTATCCTTGAATTTCCATTGCCAGCTGCTAGTCTGAAATAAGTCGTTCATGCATAATGCAAGTTTCTTAAAATAAGATCAAATGTAGAAACCTGTTATGCCCTTTTGGTAAAGAGTTTATGCATTATTTGAGTAACAAAAGTATATATTCGGGATCAATGAGTATAGTGAGTTGAAATTGTTGAAAAACTAGTAAGGAAATCAATGTGTATCTGAAACTGGATTTGATATCAAAGATAATTTTTAATTTCCCTATCTTATTTGCAAGGAGGGCTAGACAAGCAGAGCTCTAGAAACTACAAGTACCAATTCAAAGAACATTAACATCTTTATGATTCACCTACGAATACAATTCAGATTTTCAAAATTGGTCACTATATGAAGTAAATTGTCGTTGTTTACTAGATTTTCCAGAGAAATTGAAAACATTTGATTACCGTAAATTTCAAAATCCAGGCACTACTCACAGAAACAAGAACATCAATGAGAAATTTATTGGCGGGAAGTAGATTACCTACTAACCTTTGATGAGATAGATGATTTATCGGTTGAATAATCCAAAGAGGCTGAAGCTTTAACAGTGAAAGACTTCGAATAGAGATTGCGATACCGAGAAAAAACGGCGAGACGAGGGATTTTAGTGGAGAAACCCAAGCTTAATGATGAATAAAAGTGAGGGATGGCAGAGGAAACCATTGACATTTGCAAGATTGTAGAAGAAATTGTTTAAAATTTTGGGGGAAATTTGATGCCTAAAAAGTAGTTGATTTATTTTGGTTTCATGACCACACGAAACAACACAGACGTGTCCGTATTTGGAATACAAGCAATTAGAGGAACGGTCGATGAAAAAATCATGCAAAGGCACAAATTTTTATGTCAAAGGTATAGAAAAATCACGAAAAGGGAATCTTTGGTGTTAGATCCACAATAAGGAGTGTTTGACTATGGCTCCTAGACATCTTTTCAGGTCCAGGTCCAGATCTTTTTTGCTGAATGGAACGGAAACACAATTTGATTTGCACAAAAAAATAGGACTTTCCCGGTAAGATATGTCTTTCTCAGAAAGCCTCAAAATCATATCTTTCTGGCTGAATGGGTTGGAAACACAATTATCCACCAAACCCCGCCTCTTTCTTTCTTTCTTGGATTATTAATTTTTTTAAATAACTTTTTTTAAATTTATTTTTTTATTGCATTATTACGTTTCTAATGTATTATTTTATATTAAGAAATATTATTTTAATATATAATATTTATGTATTAATAAATATTATTTTATTAGATTATTAATTTTTTTAAATAATTCTTTTTTTTTAATTTCTTTTTTATGGATTAATTATTTTTATTGGATTATTATATAT